GCTATGTCTATACCGCCCGCAAATGTCAGAACGCGAGCTTTTCACAAAAATCGCGGAAGCTCAAGTGGATTGGCCGCTTTCCTTCGCCACGCTGGCCGAAAGAAGTATAAACCCCATTCAGCGACGGAGAGACGTTTGATAATATCAGCCCCAAGACAAACAGCCTGAGAACAAAGGCAGCTGGGAAGACAGCCTGGTGGAGTCTATTGTCCTTGCCTGATGAGGGAAAAAAAACGGGGCAGAGAGGGAGAGAGAGAATGAATTCCAAACCTCCGGACCCCACCCGGGTCAAAAAACCCGGTGTTTAGGTACAAGGCAGTAGAGATACCAGACCCAGAGATAATTGCCTAATTAACGGGGCCGCTAACTCTTGTGAAGACGACCAAGGTGGTAACGCGAGGTGTTGGGCGGCAGCGTTAAACTCATCCTCGGTGGATTTATTTCCTTTCAACGAAACTTTCACCCAAGTTTTCAATTTGGATTTTAAAAATTCTCGTTGCGCAGAGGGAAAGAACCCTCCGACATTCGCTGGGCGTTCAAGTAACAGGGACAAAACGCATCACGGTGCGTTTTTACCACAAAAGAATAATCCCCAAGAAATAAAGCGGTTAATGCCGTCGTGAGGTGCGAGGAGCCTCACTCATGCGAGGGGTTTAACCAGGCCCGAGTTTTACTTTCTCAGCGCTACCTCCTCTTAAGGAGGACTAAGTAAACCCAACAAACTTCTCGTCCGGAAGACAAAAAGCTTCTTTTATGCAAATATACATGAAAATACACCGAAGGTGCTTTAAAATTTGGGGGCCTTCAAAGCCTGTTGTGCTTCAGGTGGCCTCCGACAGCATCGCTAAGGCAACAAGCAGGGTTAAAGTCATTTAAACAACCGTCGGGCCATTTTTCGCAGCCTGTTCTTCAACTCTTGTTTGAAACTGAAGCTCCCGACAAATTTATTCCGCTCAAAATTATCTTAAATATGAGGTTGTGAGAGAAAACCGCAGCTGACACAGGCAAATCCACACCTATAGAATCTATACTGGAGCCGCGGGTGGTTATTTCGGAGATGTACCGCTCACAGGTTTCGTTTCCTACAAGCTGCAGCTGGAAGAGTCGACTTTAAACCCAAATCCTGACGTTCTTCGAATGCACAATTTCCTCCTTGTATTCACAGAATCCGCTCAGCCGCCAGGAATCTGGTACCTGTCCTCGGTAACGCCATCGGTAACGCCTCCGTAACGCCCGACGGCGACAGGCGTACCCAAAATTGGCTAAATTTTAGGCAGAGATCAAAAAAAACCCAACCTGGCAGGGGTTTATTGGCACCGCAGCAATCGCCACGACGGGGAAATCGGGGCACGGAGGGGCGACCGGGCGCAACGCC